CAAAATGAAAAAAACCATGGAAGAAGACAAATCAAAAAATTAGAAAGCATTAAAAATTTTAAACTGATACGGCAAAACCAAAACAAATAACAAGATCGGCCAAAATGAAAACAATCACAACTATACTAAGGTCCAGTTCACATGATTATATAATGAGAGTACAATAAAAGATGAATACGGAGTCCAGGATGTGGTGAGATGAGTACGATCCACGCGAAGGGAATGTTAATGGATGTCTCCCGAATGATCGACCAAATGAATCATGCTAGAAAAACCAGACACCAAACCAGCCCCTGAATTACTATCTAAAAGATAGTATGAAAATTTGACGTCAGAGTTGCAGATGACCAAAAAGTAGACAAATGGTCCTATTAGAAGAGGAAAAAGAAGATGGTGACTACGTTACCTCCACAAGTATCAACTCTCCATGCCTTCAGTGATGTACTCTCGATCTGGCCGAATGTATGTACCAAAGGAACATGACATCATAATTCGAAAATCAAAAGTATGTGAGCTTTGTTTCTAAGTAAACCTACTTCAAAATGAACAAATCAAAAATTTCAAAGCTAGTATTCTAGTAGCCTGTGTTCTGAGAAACTGAAGGAAAACTGAAACGTCACCACTAGTCATCATCGCCATTTGATATATAAAGGTGGATTATTATTTGGTATCTTTGAATGCAGCAAGATAATATTGCTTTGCCTATAGAGGTCGTCTACGAAAGTTGCTACAAATAACAACTTGCAGAATATGGTAACACTTCATTACATACAAGAGAAATATTGGCCAGTATATTAATAAAAAGTTTCTGAACTAACTTGTATTTTAACTTTGTCAGGATTAACTAGGAAAACTAACATTTCGTGACTTTCAAAAATTCACAACTAACTAATGCGTTTAAGTGTCAATGTGAAATTTTGAGAAAGGTGTATAATGGTCAACAATTCCAACATTTTTCCCAGTTTTCTAAACTTTTACACAACACAGTAAAATTGGAATAAGTTATCCTAGTTTAACACGACAGATATTCCAAAAAGATTTAGATAGTCACCATAAAATGGTATAAATTGGTTACTTTTTTTTCGATCCACACATAGAACTTTTTTTCAGTCTACATAAATCATTCTTTGATATGAAACAAATCAGGAGAAAATTTCACTGTTTGTAAAAACTTTTTGTCCTCAAAGATTTATGTTGGTCGGACTTCGTATTTCTTCGAATTGAAGGTGTGAAACTTTATTCCTAGATACGAAGGTTCATTCCATCGATTGTATTTCTAAATATATTACGATTATTTGTTAAAATAACTCCACCGTTTCCACAATCTACTTTAACAAACGCTTTTTCTTAAAAAGAATTAATAAAATTAGAATTTATTTAAATCAAAATAAGTCTTATTAATTATTTCTGAATATGTAATATAAAACCACAAAGCGTCAAATTTCACCCAGTCATAAACGAGCTTAATGACGTTACCTAATAGTGTTTTTAAATGTAACCGAATATGCAAGTGTTGTAAAAACTCATATTGGTTACTATAAAAATTATCGTGCGCATGCAACAAAAGTTATGACTCATTAAACACGACACTTTTACTTGACTGGACTGTTGTACAACGTTGTACTATGATTTCTAAGTAGCAAAAACTTTAATTAATGTAAATCCAACATATAAAAACTTTAAGTAATCATTATGAAATATGCAGTTTTAATTGTATCAATTTATAATGACGATAACTTTTGTATAGGATGAAAAATAAATTTTTCTTTGAAAGCTATTAATTAACAAGTTATAATCCTAAAAACCGCGAAACCGACGGTGTTGTTCCCAGCAATTTTTCACCGCGAAAAATGCACCTCTAAATGGAAATTAATGAATGCTTCGCGAGAAAGCTACCGGGGTATCGTATTTTTAACTCTGGATTTCCGCGCTTTAGGAATGTCAAACACATGTGTTTTTGCTTTAATTCCTTTTGAACTATAAATCTGCAATAATTACAAGTGAAAGTTCTTGTTTATATCAACACTGAACTTCATCAATCGGTCAAAACCGCTTCTAAACGGTAACGGGAAATTTAATTGTCTTTAAATTTCTTCAATGTTATATTTTAATATTTCTATATTAATACTACACGACTAAATAGTAGTGACCTCCTTTTACTTTCATCGATTTTTATGTATTTATTAAAAACAATATTATTACACCAATTGTGTAATAATATTTAACAATCTCATTTAAAATTAAAACTAGAGTGGAATAAATATTTTTTTGTTATCCGATAAAAGTTGTAGCTAAATTTACGCAAGAGTTGTTCATTTAAATCGATCGATTGTACTAACTGTTGGGCCCATTTAACCATAAAATTTACGATGCAGTATTGTGCTGCAGATTCGTACACGTTAGCGAAAGTTAAAGGTTCAACTCATATTTAAAACTTTCAAATCCCTTTTTTTCAGACCAACTTTGTTTTATTGTTATTGTTGGTGTTGTTAGTATTTATGGCACGTGTTTGCAAATCGGCAGGTGTTTGTAAATAAATTTGAATTCAGTTTGGTATGCAATCGTTAATTTCTCACGCACAGATCAAAGAAAGTAGTAAATTGTTGTTGCATGACTGGTCCGGACGATCTACGTTATAGCTATAAAGCGTACATCACCGCCAACGCCTTTACCGTTTGCCACGAATTCTGCGTCGAAATGGGCAAATAAATTCCTCTGCAGCTAATCCGAATCAAATGGAAATGCAGTCAGGTCGACTGCATTTGCTCCTTTGCGTGTTCACGATGTCATTTGCACTTCACAACGAATGGAATGCCAACGAGTTGATGAACCGCACTAAAAGTCTGTGCAAAAGCGCTTAAAAAATTTTCACTGCTGTAAAAGTCGAAAACCATTCATTCCACACCAAGAATTCAATTGACGAATAATGAATGGTTAAATGTAAATAAATCTGCAACTATTTGAATAATAAGCCTGCCGTAAATTCGTGGATATGTAAACTAATACAACTCACAAATTTTGCTAACTAGAGCGAAATTTGCTATTGACATTGTGTTGTGTAACAAACTGTTATGAAAATTACTGCAGTAAGTGTTAAATAAAATAAAATATAACTGGGTTATTGATTTCCGCATACCTATGTTGTACAACATACAGTGTGTCCCCGGATTGTGTCCCCGTAAGGTATAATTGACGATAAATTTTTGAATTCAAATTCCATCTTTTGCAATTAATGTCTGGATGTCATAAAACGAAATATAACCAAGTATGTGTTAGTGTTGGTGGTGATATCATTGAATAAGCTTTTATGTTAATTTAGTTTAGATCCAAAATGTTTTGTTAATCTTATGATTTAAAAATCTGCACATTTTGCTTTTATATCCTAAATTAATAAAATATGGCATATCGCTATAATTTAACATAACAAACATTTTATCTTAATCAACTTTTGTTGTACATTGCTCAGAAAGACCACTTTACCTGCAACGGTTAACAAACTTCTTGCGTTAACTTTGGTACTTTGAGGATATTTGACGTAAAACTTGGTTATATTTCGTTTTATGGCATCCAGACTTTAATTGCAAAAGATGGAATTTGAATTCAAAAATTTATCGTCAATTATACCTTACGGGGACACAATCCGGGGACACACTGTATATAATATTTTAGGAATGTGTAAAACTTACACCATCGAAATGATAAAATAATTGATCTTTTTGTATCTTATTTTGACTTAAATTTAAACCCAAAGAACGAAATGTTAATAAAAATCAAACAATAAACTTTAAATGTTGAATAATGCAATTTCACTAACTTATTCACTTTCCCTTTTTTCCATAATTATAAAAGATAAGAATAAAAACTTCAATCGGTTCAACCAACTTTAATTTCTAAGAACGAGAACAGCTTACTTGTTTATTTGTAACATAAAGAATAATTCTTCGTTAACTCTAAAATAATTTTTGGCTTTTCTCCGTTGATTAAATAAGTATTATTTTTGTCTTCACCATATAAATTTGTATTTCAAGCTTTCTATTTAATAGTAATAGTAGAATTTGTTAATTTTGAACATAACTTCCACACAGAGTTGTTTTCAAAAAATATAACAGTTTGGTTTATAGGAATTAAGAACCTTTTATTATTTTAAAACTGGAGCAAATTTCCTTTAAAATGTTTGTTATTTATACAGGATTGTATTTAAAAAATTATTACAGCCAAATTAATAGGAGTACAGAAATTATTTTTACAACATTAAAACTCGAATACATTTTCTTCAAAGTTCTATATATTTCATAGTAATGTCTCAATTAGTCTTTGAGATACGATTTTTTTGATTTCTACTATATGTTATGGCGCCCGCTTAATTAATACATGGGGATGCATTTAAAAAATCGTTACACTTAGGTCAATAGAAATAAAGAAACAATTTTTACTAACATAAAAATAGAATAAATTTGCTTTAAAATGTTTTATGTTTGGTGCTAATAACACAATTATTCTTGCAGATTTTTACAATTTTTTTAATTTCTATCCCCTCCAATCTTATTTATGTAAAGATAGTATTTAAAAATGTTTACCCAAATTAATAGGAATGTAGAAATTGTTTTGACAATACTAAAACTCGAATAAATTCACTTCAACATGCTGATAATTTTATAGCGGTATCTCAATTAATTCATGAGATATGATATTTTTAATTTCTACATCTTTGAATATACAGAGTTTTATTCAAATAATTAGTACAGACAGGTTAATACCAATAAAGTAATTATATTTGTTTACCTTTAACTAAAATTGCTTTAAAATGTATTAAATTAACTTCAATTGTATTCAAATTTTGATATAACCCAACCGATTTCGTCAACTACCCATCACCAGAGGTTATTCAAATTTTGATATAACCCAACCGATTTCGTCAACTACCCATCATCAGAGGTTATTAAAATTTTGTAATACATCGATCATACAAACAGATATCATTATTGTTAACTAAAACTTACATTCCATTCTGGAACTTCTGTTAACCGATTAGCTACAACGCATCCTGCACTTCCAGCTCCAACAACAACAAAATCGAATTCTTCTCTATCGTCGTATCCTGGAGCTCCGTGGTTCCACTTAAAATAGCTACCGTACTCATTTTCGACGTTCTCGTTGGAATCCACCGAATTTTGCGAGAAAATATCATCCCTCGATCTGCCAAAGAGTCCTGCTATGAGTTGCAAAAAGAGCAGTGAAGACGGGGAACAAGTCGTCACTGTCGTGTACACGGCACACGTTTGCGACAAGTCTCTCGGAACCCAAGACATGGTGTCGATCGTACGAAACGCACGCGAACGTTCAGAATGAGCTTTACCCGTTTCGTTCGCGAACCCGAGTGCCCGAGGAGAACGAAAGTGTACCAGATTTACATTTAATTTTTTTATTCTATACAGTGCAAATGCAATCGCAACGTGCATAGGCTGGGCATTCTAAAGCTTACCACCACCCCACCTCCTTTTATTAGATCGGGTTTAAATATTTTCTAATCTGTGATATACGCGGGTAGCTTGACAATGTCCTTGTGCTTTTTTGCATTCGATTCCTTTCCAATTGGTCTATATGTGCGTTCGTGCACACGTTTACTTCCAAGTTAATTAATAGGTTTATAACGGAAATAAATATAATGTTATGGTATAGTTATAATGGATATGTTTTTAAACAATACAACAAGAATTTGTAGTCACCCAATTATATATAATTATTACACGAATAAATTTATAATCAATAAATCAAACAACCAGTTCAGGTAATTAGTCGGTATTTATATTTCTGCTGCGGATTGGAACGGATTTCGCATTCTTCTCATATTACAATGAATAGTGACAAGGAATTTGTTATAAAAAATAAACTTGCGTAACAAATGGCTTTATTGTAATTAGGTATTTCTTACACGTACTAGCAAATTACTATTCAACATTTAATATTTTCATTGTTTTACATATTTTTTTATAGAAAAGAAACCGGTCTGTTGAAATCGTTCGATTTTACCATAATTTGCAATCCAGATATAGCTCATATAAATGTATCGCAAAAGGATTGTTAATTATTTAACACGATACAAGTTTTACACAATTTTAATATCTAATAAAGCGTTCTATTATTGCATTAGAGTATTTTGTGCATTCGAACATTATTGCTTTATTAAATATTAGTATATTTTTATTGAACTAATAGTGTAAGTAACAAACCCGAATGTTGCTTGTTCTAGGTTTAGTGTTAGTTCCAATACTAGTGTTAGTTCTAGTTTTAGTTGTGATACGAACGGCCCATCGAGCAGCGCATCTATTCCCGGGATGTAGTAGTCTTCTTAGATTCTATCATCCTTGGTATAAAGATAAAGCCACGTAGACTGAACGCAACGGTGTGGAGAGCTGTCCGAATTTGTGTGCATTAAAATGATTCATATAACGGACTTTTGGTTATAACGGACACTCCGTATTAATCCGATCCATTCCCTAAGGGGTTCATACAAGATTATTTATTACCATCCCTCTCATTTATCCAGAATCGTTTGATTATTAAACAAGTCTTTTAGAACTCAGTATAGCATAAATAGACCACCAATTACATAAATTATCGTCTCGAAATTACGTATAATAAATTCCAGCATCAAATTAATTGCGTCGCTTGCGGACAGTATTCTCGCGTAAATTATAGCTTGGATATCATCCGGAATATATGTACGAACGTTCCCGTAATAATTTCCTGGCAGCGAACTTCGGCAGAACGCAAATTTACTCTTGCGAAGGGAACCGCAACCGAACTTTCGCGTGTAATATGCGCAGCTAGAACGCCCTACAACCCCAACCAAACCAATCGTATAGATAACTTTCAAATTTTACGAAATGGTCACAAGTACCACTGGGAGACTAGAATCGAAAGCCGGACATTATGCTGAACGCTATGATCGTCGTCGTCCAAGAAACGGTTCTATATTGTCGCAATGTCTCCAATAACATTACATTTAGTGTGTTTCCATTATAACGGAGGTCAGTCGCGTACCCACTGTAAAAGTTAAGATAGAATGCCTCGCGGAGAAGCTTTTTTGTGACCCACTTTTTGCAACGTTCACTTATCATGTATGCTATAAAATTAAATTGGATAACTTTCTTTAAAATAATTCAGTAATAAATATGTACTTTAACACTAACTCTCTCTGTCTTAAATTGTATAAATATCCTATAAGGATGTTACGAGATAATAACGAAATCGAAATTCTTATTTTATGAAACCTTCAAAGAAAGAAAACGATAACTCTATTAATTCTCATAAATACCACTTATAACTATTAATAAACATAAATTAAGTTTAAATGCATAGGTAATATTAATAACATTAACCCAAGCATATTGATGTAGGCAATTATCTAGGTACATTAATGGATTGTATTAAAACAAGTAATTTACCTAAGTAACATTTTCCTTGATAATTACTCTAGTGTTGTATGAATTATAAAAGTGTTTAATAAACTGATTTGTAAACTAAATAAATTTATGCAAACAATTAGGCAAATACGAAGGATAAATTATTTCAAATGAGCGAAAAATAAAACACAAATAACAACAAACTAGAAAAATAGACAGAAATCGTTGAGATTTAGGATGCTCCTTCAATTATTAAACCGTTCGATTGTGTAGGAACCGATACAGATTTGATTGTGCTTGGAAAAAGGATGGAAAAAAGCTCTTTGTACATTTTTGTTTGGTGAATAATGAGACCCTTATATCAAAGCTTTATATTATAGACATTGGTTTTATAAGTAGCTCTAACGAGAAGGTATTCTGTAATCAGTGTGAGTTGTAATAAACGGCACAATGATCGATAATTGTATATTACTAAAACGAAAACATTTATTGAATTTAATTTATATATTAATAATATTCATCGAAAGTACATGTTTATAACTAATATTGTAATAAACAGTTCAATATCAATGAAATCGGTCAATTTTTATTAATATATCTATTGAGTCGTGGTTAATTCAATGTAGATGTATTAGTAATATCAATTGGTTTTGTGATATAATAATATTTATTAAGAGATATGATATGAATAAATTATCAGAAGGATTACTTCTATATGTAATTTTTATTTTCCTCATTGTTAAAAACTTCACTCATAATCCACTATCTATATATTACTGCGAATAGATTTTGTAAAAGAACACAATACTGCAAACTAACACAACTAATTAACCCAGATCTTAAGAATAACGATTTCATTTTGATGCTCTGCTATGAATGTAGCGAGAATGATAAGCTTCAACAATTTGCTGCGTCTCGGTAATTGTTCTCCAAATATTACCAAGTGTAAATATTTGGCAAAGCAATTTTAATTGTCTCGTTTGTATTATAATTGTAGGTAAAGTGTATTTGCTTTTCATTCTCAAACAATAAGCATTTGTTGATTATCATTACGTGGCTACAAGATTGAACATGGAATAAACGAGGTCGAATTATTGCTGAAGACGTTATTTCCATAACGTTTCTATCCCATCCTTTTCTTCTCTTGTTAATATTCTTTCTTTAACAGTCACTTTTGTGTCTCTTGCATCAATTACCGGTCTAGTTCTAATATTGCTCTATAATCTCTCTATTTTCTAGTCTAGTCTTTCTATCTCTGTCTAGTCTCTGAGTAGTTCTTTTCTGTTACCAATTTCTTTCCAGTCTTTCTTTAACCCATCCAACCCAACCCTATGCAACTCAACTCAACTCAACCCAACCCAACCTCACCCAACCCAACTTAATTCCTCGCTACTTAGTATTTTCATTCTCTGTCTAGTCTCCGAGTAGTTTTTTTCTATTACCAATCTCCTTCCAGTCTCTCTCCTTTCTTTATCGCCTTTCTGCATCTTTTCTTTCTAATCCCTTTCGGTTTCTTCCATCTAATACAGCTTCTCAGTTTTGCTCCTCTTTGATTCCTCAGATTTTTCTGAAACAGCATTTTAAAAAACAGTGATGCTACTAATAATGATAATCAACAGTACAATTTGAAGCTGGATGCCGACAAGTTTCTACAATTGGTTTGGCTTCAAATAGTATATTTTTTCTAAACCATGGATGATTGGCTAAAAAATTGGACAGTTTGTGACAACATAACTTCGTATACTTATAATTTCCAAATACGGAAAATAAGAGACCAGCGTGAACACAAGCAGGAGCGGTGTTGTCTTGGATAAATGAGTTGGATGTAGGAAAATGTGACAGCTCTATTAATCTAAATGAAGGCTGGAAATCTAAAAAAGGTTACAAAAGATGAGAATTTATCATGCAGCTCAGAAAAGAATTGATTACAGCTAAATAACGCAGAAAAGTATTTTCGATGTCACAAGAACGGTTTCAAGAAACAAAGCCGGAAACGAGGTAGGCGTTTGGAATTCCGATAAAGAATATTCAATGATACATAAAAACTGATTGAGTGAATAATTGAATTTCTTATTTTGATTATGAATTAGTATGACGTAAACCTAATTAAAGATTTGAACAATACCTTTTAGTGAACGGAAATTTTAGCTAGCTAATGAGGTTCTTGAAAGAATTAGCATCATTAGTGGAGTAGATCAAGCTTAATACATCTACAATTTTAACCGCAGCCTTAAAAACATATTTACACCAATTAAATACATTTTAAAACATTTTCCGAACGCAGTTCTTTAAATATTGTTGTTGCAATACACGCATTAGCCATTATATAGGCATGTTTAAATTCAGTACTTGCAGCTATCGTTAGGGCCTTGGGCTAAATTCATTCAACTTCGTGTTAATTTAATTTTTACGGTTGCTAATTGACATTTTCAGTATGCAGCAATCGTCGCTGCAACTAGGGTACAGCAAATCGATTAAATAATGAATAAATGCCTGTTTCGTGCCAATAATATTACGCGTCACTGCAACCTGTCTGCCTTTTTCAATTTGGAACACACACACCGAGAGGGGCAATGCGGTTCGTTAGTATCGGGGGCGAATTCAATTACATTCCGATCGTGAAAGATGCAATCGTTTGTCTCCTCGAAACAAATTGCTAACACACGCCACAAGAGATACTGTTATATCACGATTTTGCAAGGTTCACGCTAAACGCGGTTGATAGTTAAACGAATTTATTATCAGAATAAACTTTTTGGTATTTCACGCCGAAACTTTCACGTCTAAACTTTTAATATAAAACGTAACGTAACGATTAATTAGCGTTGTCTTAAAATGTCAATTTATGTAACCAATAATCTGCACCTGGGGTTTCTTATAGGTACTGTAACGTTGGAGGGTTGAAAGTAGGGCAACAATCCAAATAGAAAAAGGGTTGTTAGGGGGGGAGCAGGTAGTTGTCGGAAAATTTATATCGAGTTTCGG